TTTTTGTGCAGTCCCAGCATGGGATTTGCTCTGTTTATTTTTATTTTTGGTATTTTTTTGAAATGCTGGAACGGATTAATCGTGTTCCCATGCATTCCTATGGGAAATGGTGTTTCGACTTATGAACACCATTCCAATGCAGATTGAGTTTGTAAGTCGAGGCACCACTGTATAAATGGAGTATTTGTAAAACAGGGGAAGAGACATCAAATGATTGCACATCAAAACAGAAGTCAGGACTCCAATGTGTTTTAGTGCTTTCAGGCATGAGGAGGGAAAAGTGTTTGCTTGTATTGTAACTGGGTGGTGGGTGGTAAGATTACTGCCTTTTCAATAAGAGCCTCATCACCATCCCCAACAATCAATCAATCAATCAATCAATCAATCAATCAATCAATCAATCAATCAATCAATCAATCAATCTTTTATTTATTTATTTATTTATTCAATTTTTATATCGGCCATCTAGCAAATTGCTACTCTGGGTGGTGTAACCAAAACAAAAAATATTAAACAAAAATTATAAAAACATATTCTAAAACACAAAAAAGATTTTAAAAAGAAAGGAACGCAGGATACTTAAAACAACAAACAAAAATCCATCCTCCTCCTCCACACATTCAAATCAATTGAGGAGAACCTCTCCAAGTGTTTCATTTAAAAGCTGTTTTTTGTTGTATTTTAAATGCATGGAGGGAGGGCACCTGGTGTAACTGCTGTGGCAGTGCATTCTACACGGAAGGTGCCACAGCAGAGAAGGCCCAACTCCTTGTTGTCCAGGACTTTTGAGGTGTTAATATTCATAGGTCCATGATCTGTGAAGACCTGGTCAGATGGAAAATTGAACTTTGCAGACTATGTTCAGACAGGTAGAGAGGTTCCAAATCATTCAGGGCTTTGTACATTAGAACCAATACCTTAAACCTGTCATGGAAGCAGTAACCAATGCAGGCCTATCAGGCTAATCTGATTGTATTTCTTCACTTGAGCAATCAACTAGCTGCTGAGTTTTGGATCTCTTGAAGCTTCCGTTACAGTAGTCAATTTTTGAGATGACAAGTATGTGGACCAATGTTTTTACCGTGTTTCCCCAAAAATAAGACAGGGTCTTATATTAATTTTTGCTCTAAAAACACACTAGGGCTTATTTTTCAGGGGATGTTTTATTTTACAGTCATGTCATCTTCTTCTGGTTGCTGCACAATGGTGGAGGGTGGGGTTTTACTTAACTGGGGCTTATTTTTGAAGTAGGGCTTATATCACAAGCATCCTGTGCACAATGGTGGAGGGTGGGGTTTCATTTAACTGGGGCTTATTTTTGGAGTAGAGCTTATATCACAAGCATCTTGAAAAATCATACAGTACTAGGGCTTATTTTCAGATTAGGTTTTATTTTCAGGGAAACAGGGTAGCTATTGCTACTTTCTGTTTCCATCTGTATCTTTAGATAGGGATCCTGCTCTAAACCTGTGGAATGAGATGAGACTTAGAAGTAGACATACAGGTAGGGGCACTTGTTTTAAATACTCTTCAATGTAAAATAAACATCTTATCGCCAATAAAAGTTGCTCATCGGGGGGAGTCACCTGCTTTAGATTAGTTTCTATTTCTGGAATGTTTTTCATGTAAAGCAGGACTCAAAACAAAACAAAACAAACACCACGTCGTATTTAGATTTAAGCGGTATAGTATTACTGTGCCATCTTTGTTACATGGGCACAATGACAATTAATGTATTTTTCCGTGTATAAGACTATACTTTTATCTAAACTCTTTAGACTAAAAATTGTGGGTTGTCTTATACACGGAAGTAAGCTGAGGAGAAAACAAACTCAAGTGGAAAGCAGGGATCAAAGTGATCCTGCAGGGCTTTGTACCTGCTTTTCTCTCCACTTGCTAATCCTTAGCAAAAGGAAAGCAGGGATCAAAACGCTGCAGGATGGCTTTGATCTTTGCTTTCCCCGCTGGTTACTAAGTCCCATGGGGCTTACCAAAAGGAGGGGGGAAAGGATCTATGCAATCCCGTGGCTGTATAAAGGGAAAAGGGATCAAAACAATCATGCAGTGGCAGGATTGCTTTGATCACTTTCCCCCTCCTTCTGCTAAGCCCCATGGGGCTTAGCATAAAGGGAGAAAGCAGGGATCAAAGCGATCCTGCAGTGTTTTGATCCCTTCCCCCCTACACTTGCTAAGATTTCTTAATTTTGGGTTAGAAAAGTGGGGTGTGTGTCTTAAACACGGGGGGGCTTATACACAGAAAAATACAGTATCTCTTGATGCAATGCAATGTTACTGCTCACATGCACATCTTTACCATTAGGAATGGCTGTTGATTAGCAGCTAAAAATAAATTTGCACACAAAAGATTGTAAGAGTCCAACCCTTAAGCAACTCCACATACAGCTAGGATCCCTTTTCCAAAACTATACAGAGTCCATTTATTGTTCAATAAAAAATTGGCTTCAGCCTCATGTAAAAGTCTAAGATGTCATTAAAATGAAATCAAGGGGATGCTTGTTTATTTCTTTTCTCTAAGGCTGGTTAGGCCCCTTCTATGAACTGCTGGATAGCTCAGGCATCTGGTTGGGAGTTCAATTTCCCACTGAGGCTCCTTGAAAGAGGCTGGATTCAAAATCCATAAAGTCCCTTCCAGCTCTGCAGTTCTAAGATGATGCCGAAGAATTTACATATCTTCAATAATAAATGTCAAGAAACATTGGAATTTTAGTTTTCAAGCTGTAAAACCTCACTTTAAAGTTTACAGAAAATATATGGCTCATTTGATATTTGGTTGGATGTTAGTTAAGAGAAAAAAATAGAAAATTAAATGCACAGCAGAAGGTTGTCTTATGAAGCACTTGCTTTAGATGCCCATCTTACTCAAGATCCATGGCTTCACTTTGGCATTAAAATACAACCGGCATCAATGAAGCTCTCCTACTATCTCTCACTTATGGCCAAATTTATCATTCAGCTGCTTCTTTCATCTTCCATTCACTCTTTATATGAGTTACTGTACTTGTAAACAGCTGTTCATTTTTCTGCTAAATTCTCTGTATAGCAAAACAGATAACAAAGAACTCGTTGTGTGCTCAAAACTATAGTGGATGGAATGCATGCTTGTCATCTCGCATTCAGAATAGCAATAGTCAAACTAACAACATTGCTTAAAATATTCCTAAAGCCTTTGAGATGGACTGAACCAGGAAGGGGAAATACTAATACTGTAGAAACAGTGTAAATGAAAGACCCTTCCTGTAAGAAAAACACTATTGTGTTTCATCTGAATGATGCTTTCCTTAAGGATATTAAAGTCAACTGACTTCTAAAAGGATTTCTGTGTAATCCCCATTAATTTATTCCAGCCATTTTGTTGTAAAACCACTCATATTTCAAAGTCAATCTCTCATAGGGCTGAAAGTCATATTTGTAAAATACAGCAGCTGGTTTAACAGTCATATTTTGCAAAATTGGACCTGTGCAGTAATTTGAAGCAGAAGCTACATGATCAAGGAAAATAAAAACACAGAATTCATCAGACAATACTACTTCATTCTAAAACAGGACTGGTAATCTCATCTATGCTTGTATAGTACAGCCTACAAACTGGCTGTTAACAAGTTTAGGTGGAGTTACAGTAGCAAGCACTATGAAAACACCAATTTGATTTGCTGTGGCTTTGAAAGGGCAAACATGAATGGGGTTAGAACAAAAAAAACAGCAAGTATCATTGCACAGGTTGATTTTCTATGTGTACGAAGATGTGTGACCACTGGCAGACACAATGTGTTGTACTATTTTCATCTGAAATAGCAAAACAATTCTTATATTGTACAGTGAGCAATTCTGTCTATCCTGATGTTTAAAAACAATGCAGAGTAAAAGTTAAACAAAAGTGCAACCAAAATGATCAAGGATGAGACATCAAGCAGCTAAGCCATTTCCCCCTAACATTTATAGATTATCAGAGATGATGTGAACTATACGAGCATGAGAATAAAAACAATAAAGCACTTAAATCATCATACTTAAGGAACTATCACAATGCTTGTGCTTCAGAACTATTCTATCTGTTCCTCCCTTAGAACATTTGGAGCCATTGTGATTATTGATTTTTCTTAGATGGAAAATGTGTGCGCTTTTCAAGCAAAAAACTATACTTGTGGACAAATTACACTGGCCAGCCCTCCATTTTATTTTGTTTTTTAATAATGCTTCTTGTGAAGCAAGATTAGTGTATAGAGCTCATCACTTACAAAGAACTGTTATAATTTCAAAACACTTGCAGAAATACATGGGAAATAAATTAAAGATGTATGTAGCTCAATATGTTCAGTATAGTTCAGTTTAGAGATTCTATGCCTATTTCTACTATAATGAGGAGTATATGGGGGGTATCACCATCCTGCTTCATTTGTTTATGAACTTCTTTGAGGGATCTGAGGGGCCACTATAAAATTAACAGAATACTAAATCTCATGGATCAATGGATTGAAATATCCTGGTAATTACCATAGTATTATATACAGGGAGGACAGGCAATATTGAGTGATTAAAAGTTTGAGTGTTAGAAGAAAGAGAATGTACATACCAAGTTTTTCCACTACTGTGAGCAGCTGGCAAACTTTTAAATGGATAGATGGATGAATGCATAGATAGATATGAAGTATTCACCAACCCAAATCTTCTATATGATTTTATCTAATGTAAGAACATTCTAGTAAGGTACTGAACAGAACTCATCCTTGGAATGGCCAATCTAGGCCTCAGGTCAGAAAATAAACTCAAATGGATAGGAAATGTGTGGCAAGAGATTAAAAAGGAGGGAGGGGACATCAAAAGTAGAACAGAAAGTATCATGAACACTGTGTTGTTCTAATTAGGAATATTTGCTCTCTTGTCCCTTATATTTAGAATAGCCCTTTTCCTTACAGTCTGATTGATAGAGATGTAATCACCTGCCTGCCATATGTAACTAAGTACAAGGATGACACAGAAAATTCTTCTCAAACAGTTTAATAGCAAATAAACAAAGGGAGGTACCACACTTGGCATATACAAAATGACTTCTCGTCTGTGTGTCTGTGCAATTAAAACAGCTTTTAAGTTCCCCAGTGGGACAAAAAGAAATCACACACAAAAGGAAGAAAACTGCTTAATACATACTCGCTTGTTCCAAACTTATAACAAAACTTTCATTTTTAAATCCACTACACAAAACTCCGTGATCAGAAAAGCAACATGTGCTTTTTCTTTTAAACCATTAAAGTAAAACCCATAATTTCTACAGAGTACAACACAATTTCACACAAAAAAGACATTTCATTTCCCAAATCAAACAAAGAAAAAGAACAGCTCAAACAAGGTAAAGAAAAGCATAGCTACAACAGAATCACGACTCTGATTTGATTAAATCCTGTTGCTGCAGAACAGACTCTACATTTGGTCATAGTGGCAATTTGTTTTCTTGTCACACTTGTGAATCACTTTACATTGTTTTCTAGTAGAAAAGGCAAAAAACTGTACAAAACCCCTAGTGTTAAATACAATGTTTGTACCAATAAAAAAGCCCACAGGTTTGTTTCCAAAATGTAAATTTTCTTTTTTTTAAATTATTCACAAAAAGCAGCCAGAAATAAAAGGCAGCTGCTGCTTTACTGTCTCAAATCCATTAAAACCACCACAGAATAATTAAAACAACCAAAAAAAGAAAAGAGAAAAGAAAAGGAACACCCAATGTTTGGCATTTTGGTTTTCTCCAGAGATTTTTTTTTCCACAGGATTCTCCAGACTTCCTCATGAAACTGTATAACACATCGTAAATAAATGTATTGGCAAAATTAATCAATATAATGCAGGGTTCTCAAATTCCCTGCTGTCAGACATCCCTGTGCATTGTGACTGTAAGCCTAATGGCAAGCATCTCACAGCTCTACCCCCAATAATGCAGCCATATATTCCTTTTCAAACAATTCCCATCCTCAAAAGGCGATGATCACAAGGTTGAGGGAAAAGTTACCTATTTATATCTATCAAACATGCATGGAAAAATACTGCCCATCCAACAAGAGGATGGCAATCTTTTTCGTCCCTAATCTCGGAACAAACTAACTTTCTGCATGGCCTAGATAGGTTTCTTAAACACTCCCACACTCCAACTATACAATTTCACACTATTTTCTTCCTGTTAGTTCCTTCCTGATTTCCCCATCCCTTTGCCTCTTGTGATTAGGCACCTACCACAGGATTTTCCTGCAGGTGCAGCCAAACCTAGTATTATATGTTTATAACAGATCATATGGCAGCAAGGCTGAAGTATTCTTCCTAGAGAAGGAGAATCTGTCCTATTTCTTCATTAGGCCAACAAGAAAAAAGAAAGGAAAACTGCATGACTCCTTACCCAATTTAAAAACTGAAAAAAAAATTCTCCAAAGAGGAGATCCCCCAGCTAAGGCCCCTGAGAAAAGGAGCCGGGGTTGGTACCCTGTTCAGGTAACAGCTAGCAAGCTGTTATATTGTGCTTGTCACTTGGAGAAAGAGCCAGCAGTTTTGTGTAGGCTTGCAGATTCCTTCTATGGAATACACAGAACATGCTACTTCAAGTGTAAAGGCTGGAGAGCAATCAAGCTTCTGTCCACTGAGATTTAATGGTGTTAAAACTCACAAAGCAAGCCACATATTAAACAAGAGGTACAAATTAAGGCTACTCCAAAAGAGCTTTTAGCTCCAATGGATCTTAGAAGCAATATTATAGCAAATATTCCACACTTTTACTTGACTTTTATCCCTGCCGCCATCACTGCCATCTTTGTCCCCATCACTACCACCATTGGAACAGTGCAACCAAGCCCCCTGAGACCTTTCCACAGTTATGATTGATCAGGGTGCAGATTCTGTGTTGAGCAGTCCAAATGCACAGGAGATGCCATTACATAACATATGACCACAAGTCTGACATCTAAAAAGGATAGCACTGAAACCTATTAAATTGCTCAGTTTTTGCACAAACTATAGAAAACAGAGGTGAAGGGTGTATGTGTGTATATATAGATATATACAGGATTGTGAAGAACACAGCAGGAAACATGCAAAACGTTTACAAGGGCATTATTTGAATTTTAAAGGAAAAAAACAGAATCTCACATTTTGCTGAGGAGATTGTAGTTACAAAAAACTAAGCATGCTAGGGTTTAACAAAATACAACATCAACTTTGATTAAACTTTCACTGCAGACAAGGCTGATAATCACACAGGAAGGAAAAAGCAGTAAGTGCCAGGACAAAAATGCAGCCACAATCAGGAGAAAGTGTAGTTCAAGTGTTCTTCTGCTGAGCCTACCCAAGTCAAATATAAGCTATCTTTCCAAGCACAGAAAGTAGATTCAGCAAAATATGACTAGAAATCTCCTGAAAGTTTTAAGTTGCATCATTTTACTTTTTCCTTCAAAGATTTTTGTTTTAAAACTATGCACACAGAAAAAACTAAGCCTAGAAAGTGATTGGCTGTATGTTCACAGAAATACAAATACTCCACGAGGTATGCTAGCAAGGCTGCTCTGAAGACAATTACAAAGAATCAGAATCACAAAATCAAGTGGTTATCTTACGAAGTTCTAGAAAAATAGAATTTTTTTTATATTCAAATGCAAGTTTAAATATTCCCCTTCAGCAGTCTTTCTAGCAAAACCAATTTGGCAGCACAAAAAAAGGAAAAAAAAGAAAGAAGAAACAAACATAATAAAAATACACATCAGCATCAAAAGTCAACACAAGGTCAAAAGGTGAGAGTTCAAGCATCAGAGAAGCTGAAGAGACAAGGATTTGGACGATGTACTTGAACGCCACATCGACATGCTTTAGGCACAACGATGAACAAACGGCAGGAATCTAGAAAAAAAAACAAACCAGAAAGAAGGAGACCCACTGAGTTACACAGAGCAGTACATCCAAACAGAGAGAGAAAGAGAGAGAGAGAGAGAGAGAGAGGAAGAGAAACAGAGAGAAAGAGAGAGAACAAGAATGGGCACTGTACAATGAGATCTTTTGGGGAAGGGATTTGACAGGGAAGGGCAGCACATGCTGACAATGAACAAGTAAAAGTTGAAGTGCTTAAGACACTAAATAAATGTCAAAACTGTCAGAAACCAAATGAAGGAAAGGCATAGCTGCAGAATGGGCTATGGTTTAGTGCCACACAGGCAGCTGTGCATTCATCACAGCTCCAAGCCAGCATTCTTACTACTTCTGTTTGATGGAGATAACTTGAAGTGAACCCTTTCAGTAGAACCTGATTTTTTTTCTATGTGGTTCCAGGGCACCTCAGAATATAAGAAATGGGAGACACAGAAAGAATCCCTGGGAGATTGATAGCTGAAGTATGTGCAAACTTGCTGAGCCTAATTGTCGCTAACTGATGAGATACTGGAGCACATCTTGAGTGCCTGCTTAGTCACATGGCTAACTGTGCAACTGAGATGTGCCCTAGCACTTCATCAATTAAGTGCAATTAGTCTATGCAAATTAATACATACAATGTTCCCATCTGTGAAATGAAAAACCATTTGAGGCAGCCAACATACTCAAATACCATTAGGACTCCACCAATTACATTTTTAAGCATGTGGAAGGGGAACTGGAAAAGCCATAGTGCCTAACTGATTAGATGCTGCTCATGTTGTTTATGCGCCCTGCATCTTGTTAATTAGCTGCAACAGCTTCCACAATTCAAATACTCTATGTGTTAAAATGCAGTAATATTCTGCCTCAGGAAACAAGGATACTGGTTTTTCATCTGAGAGCCCAAAAATGATGTAATGTATGTAAGTGGAATTGAACCTAATGAAACAGGAAGGGATTAAGACTTGACTGCAAGTCAAGACTTGCCTTAGCTGAGCTCTTTTTACAATGATACTTGCAAGTAAACTTTATTTTGCAATTCCTTGAATAAACTAAATCTTGCTCCTTCAATCTGTGAGGAGGAATTCTGGACTCTCAGAAGTTCTATAGTCACTATTACTAGTTTGAGTGTAAGGCATTTTGTCTGAAGCATCTTGAGAAAGACTGTTTAGACCTGAGAGTGGGGCACAACACAAAAGACATAATTTGCAAGGACAGATACACTGAAGCATTCTGTTAATAAGATGGTAATCTGTGGTAGCATTTGATTACTTGGAAAAATGTTTGTTACATCCACCCTAACCTCCACGCCAATACTGTATAGTTAAAAACATATTACAACATCTTGTTTTAAACGTACAGGTACATTTCAGCTCAGTGACACAGAGGAACCTTCTGTCTGTATATGTGGATTCCCAAAATGATGCTGACCTGCAGCTTCTGTCTACATGTATTATACTATATTACAGCTATTAAATTTTAGGTTATTTTAGCTGAACGTAAACAACATTGGGTTGGATCCAGAGTTGGTGCTCTACAGATGAAGATACCCCTTCTAAAAACAGAAAAATTCTGATCCAGGGAGCATTTATATTGATGGAAAGAGAGAAGAGGAGAACTTCACTAGTTTCCTCCTCCACTGTTGGCCCCTCCCGGCAATCCTCCAAAATCTGGAGTGATAGAAGGCCCTCCAGAACATGGTAGGAAGAGGTGACAGGGAATGCAGATGATGGTTGGAACAGGTAAAAATAACCTCACTTCTTTTATCACTGGCATGTTCTGGATTACATTTCATTCAGGGATTGCTGGTAGTGGTGAGGGTGGGGACACTGGATCCAATCCAACATACTTGTTAAGGAAATAGGAGATTTACGGAGGCTAACAATGCCAGGTTACCAAATAAGTAGCATCTTTGGGACTTTTGTTATTAATATGAAGTACATTAAGTGGAACCTCAAAAGCAATGTCTCTCTCCCACCCAGACAACCCATGAGCAATAATCAGTAGGATGCACACTCAATGATCAAAACATTACATGGAAAATCTTAATAATCATATGGCAATTTCATCAGCAATTGTCCAGAGGTGATATTTTCCTTAAAAATGACTCTTTTGGAAAGTGATACTTCAATCTTTGCCTCATGACTTCCAAACCCAAAATATCTTTCAGTACAGCATGTCTCCTTTTATTCATTCTAATCTCAAAACTTCATGTTACTGAACAGTCATTTTAACTTGAGAACTTGTTTTAATCTAAAATATATCTAGAACTATGTTCATGATTAAATACAATTGTATTAAATACGAATTAATTCAAATGGATCAAATGGGCACTGATTTATTACTCAAAATCTTTATGTCAATTTATTTAGCTCTATTAAATATGTATTTGTTTGTTTCTTTATTTATTTTATATATATCCCGCCTATCTGGTCGGGCGAGGACCACAATACAATTGCATTTAATAAGGCTGAGTAAAATGACATACAAATAGCCATTTTTGAGCAATAAATCAGTGCATATTTGATCCATTTGTTCCTTTGGTCCAAATGTAGATGAATAATCTGATTTGCTTGAGAGGACAGCAAACAAGATAACGCTGAGGGCTTTTGCCAAACTATCTGTTCAGATCTGGAAGGAGGTATAAATTATGCAGAAAACTCCAGAAGATGACAGACTGGATGAAACCCTCAAACGAGAAAGCATGTCTCTCTGTGTATTTGTGTAAGAGCAACATTTCTGCTAACAGAAAATTTACTTCAGGGACTTAATTTTATTATTTGTTTTTAAAACCACACTAGCATAGCAACTAAACTTGAGAAGGCAAATTTCGGTTCAAGTTTTTTAGCTTAATTCAAAGCACCAGCACCAAAGGCACAAAAACTCTGCCAGTGTATTTCAAAGGTTTGAGTTTTGGAATTTAACCTGGATATATTTGCTTTGGTTACAGTGCTATATGGAATGAGGGTAAAGGAGTCAGTCTTGTACTTAGAAATATTAAAGGACGATCTATGCTGAAGTGTTGCCTTATGAATTAAAAAGGAGACAATCTGCCTCACAGTGGTCATGATGAAGGCATACAGATAGGTTATCAACATTAAATAAAAAGTGACAGAAAATATTATTCAGAGAAGCCAATATCAGTGGCTAAACGGGTAACAAAAATGGGACTCAAAGAGTACAAGGGACAGAAGAGATACTGGGAGGAGTGACTACAGAGAAACTTGAGGACAACTTTCCCCCTCCACTGGTTCACAGCATTAATTCTTTTCCTATTTAGCAGTTTGTCCAGCTGCAAACAGGCCACTGAAGTTCAGTAGTTTATATCAAGCACATTGTTGTATGTTTGTGTAACACAATCACATTCAGGATTATGCAAAACCCTGGTCTTTTCCAGTGAAATAATTTAGATAATAAATATCCTCCACCCTGGAGCAGTATAAAACTTCTATAAAAATAGAAACAACATTCTTGGTTATATCAGGAGCAGCTGCTCCTAACCATGACCTTTTTTTTCTCCTGAAAAGTATACTATTTATATTTAAAAAATCCCATGACAACTCTGGAAGCCTCCACACTTCAATACTCTTTTTCCCGCTGCAGAATATTAGGACACAATTTTTTCCTAGTGCACAAAATTCAAATGTATACAGTTCACCTAAGTGTATGCACATGCTTTCTGAACAGAACCAAATAATTCAACACAGAAGGGCACCATATGCCAGCATTAATGGAAAATTTGGCAGTCTGACCATTCAACCTTTTTGCCATCACTGTGTGTGCTTTATAATACTGACAATTTAATATTTACTGATTCATTTGTCAAGTTTACAGACAAGTTAGCGTTAACAACAGTTCCAGATTTAACTGAAAATATCACTTGAACCTGAGATGGATGGCCTTACACAACTTACACCTCTGAGGTTTAATGTGCCAGGACACTCTGCCCATGGTTATGCCCAATTCTTGTACTGAGCGCTTTACTATTCCCAGCACATTCTAAAATGACATTTCAGGCTGGATAACTCTTGCAGCTCTTCTTGATGGAGTGAACTGGAAGCCATTTCTGAAAAAAAAAAACCCTGCTCTCTCTTTCATTGAATAACTGGCTTCAAAATCCAAGGCTTGTGGGATGATTAGTATGTTGTGAAGAAGCAGGATAATAAAATGGAAAGAGAGTAGTATGAGTGTGTATATTTACACTGAATTTTGTAATGTAGCATGTAAACTTTCCCACAGAAAGAGATGGTGTTTGTGGTTTAACGGCTATGTTTTATGATGACTTCTTGCCATGGCTCAGGCCAGAATGTCAAACATTCCCTTTAGTCCAGTGTCATCAGTATGTACAAAAAAACTTTTAACACTTTGGTAAATACACTTGAAAAATTATGTGTGTACTAGACGGGGAAGAAATTTGACTTCAAGTGATTAGGCAAAGGGCTACAGACAATATAAAGGCAGGACTAAGATTCTGTGCAAATTCAGCCCTTTGCTTGTAGCCCTTCATGTTTTACATTGGCACATGCAGTCAAAGGAAAACTACAATGTAGCTAGATGACAAAATACATTGATACTGGAAAAAAGATCTTTGGGACAGTATATTTCTGGATGCTCCCTTCTAGAATGTATGCAGAAATGAAGAATTCCAGAAATCAGAGCAACATCAGCTTATTTAAAAGCCATCAATCAATTTTGGATGTAGGAAGGTTTAAGGTGTACTCTATGAGTACTGATTCTAGTCACAATGTGACATATAAAGAAATGTGGATAAGAAATCAAAACTGTGATCAAGACGGAACATGCAGCAAATGTTAAGCAAAAACCAGGAATTTCTGATTTGCGGCCTCCACATTAAATTGATGGTACATGCCTCTGCATTAAATTGATTACTTTCAAGCTTAATTTCCATCAAGTAAGAAATACTGAAAGACTGGTAGATTTTAAAAGGTTGCTCTGGTTGAACTGTAAACGTTTGAAGTATTTTGTATGCAGCATGCGCACCTGCTGCAAGTGTACTATAGCATTAGAATTACTGCAGTTTTCCTTTAACACATGAATATTTTTACCCAACTTTTTTTCTCATGCTCCAGTGATTCAAAATAAGTCTTTGTATTAATTAAGTAAAGCTGGGGAAATGAGAATTTGGCAAGATTCCTTGGGCTGTGGCTCAATAACCAGTCTCCAAATTGTTTGGGTTCAGATCATCCCCCCACCCACCCCCATCTTCATGAACATCACTTGGTGGCTGGCAACAGATCCGTTTCATTTTTCCTTGTCATGTCTAAATGAAACAGAGCCAATCACATCTATTATTTTCCTCTCCTCCCCAAAGTGGCTGGCATTGGTCCTTCTCAAAACACACTGGTTACAAACACAGCAAACTTTTAAAAAGGTCAGCGATATGGCACCTAAACTCCAAAGTAAAACACTGGAAACAAAAGCACAAACTTGTCCTCCATCCGAAGAATTCCCAGTAGAGGCTGCAGCTGAGTCTTCAGGGGAAGGTGTGCCAGACAGAATGACATCAATTAGCTTCTGTGACTGTAAAAATACAGCCTCCAAGAGTTTTGGAATCACTAAGCGCACTCCTCCCAACTTACCAGAAGATCCTTCTCACTCCAGTTCCAGAGGGGAGGGGCGCTCAGTATGGCTTGCTGTCATTCTTAGAGCGCTTGAGCTGTACTTTCAGTCGCTTCATGCCAATTTGAAATCCATTCATTGACTGGATGGCAGCTTGTGCAGAGACTGGATTGTCATAACTTACAAAACCTAAGAAAAGCAAAAGACTCTTGTTAAAATATGTGCAAAAGTTGAAAGTGGGATGGAAATAATTGATGCTGCATATGTTTAGGCAGAAAACATTCATATAATGCCTGCAAGGTACATGAATTGTTTATCTGTCTATAAAGTGTGGAAGCAAAATGCCTTCCTGAGCTGTAGCCACTAACCGAAAATATATTCTCTTACTGGAAGCACAGGAATATACGAAGCTGTCTTATATCAAGGCCTACTTATTGTCAAACTCTGACTAGAAACAGTTCTTTTGCTTTTCAGACAATATTTTTTCTGGGCTCTACCAGGCGATCCCCAATATTATCCAGTGGTCTCCTATCCAAGTACTAACCAGATCTGTCCCCTGTTTGGTTTCCAAAATCACATGAGATTGAGTGTTTTCAGGGTAGTATGGTGGGGGCTAATTTAACTGAACATGAATTAAATAGGTTCTGATTCTGTTCCTAACTTCAGTGCTTCTCACCCAAGTTTTGACAGCATTTTGACCCTACTGCTCCAAGGATGGGGACCAGATCTAGCAAGTAAGTTCAGCAAGACCAGTGGCCTCTCAGGGTACCAGGTAAAGGAATGAACTGAGATATGTGATGGCAGTTCAATTGTCAATCTAAAATGTCAGTGCACACATATATGAAATGGTTGCAGTTCTTGAAATAAATGGTCTACGTACACAAATATACTCAAATTCCCTGGGTAGTGATTTAAATTTAGCTGTATTACAAAGAAAGTAACAGAGAACAGCAATACATACCCAAACACTATAAGTAACTACAGTCTGCTTTAAGACTGAGTAAACAGATGTTCTATAGGATACAGGAACAATCTGCCCAGTTAAATTTAGAATTGTATTCAGACATGGGAGCTTAATATTCATATCACAGGGGATATTAATACGAAGCTTGGTGCCACGGTGGCTCATTCCTGTCCCCCAGAACCAGCCCGGTTCACTCTCTGGGCCACTTGCAGTGCATGAGTTAACGGCGGTGACATGGTGCCAATTGCAGACATAGCAGCACTGCCCCACCTTTCCCCACAACCGACTGCTCCAGCAAGAAGATGAGTCTCCCTACTCAGCTGCTGAGTGGAGAGGCAGGGCAGTGCTGATGGGACTACATCTGTGATTGTCACTGCCATTAGATGCATGAGCTGCAAGAAGCCCGGTGAGTAGACCAGGCTGGTTCTGGGGGTGGGAATGGACCACTGTGGTACCAAGCTCCATATTTGTATCCCCCAGGACATGAATGCAAAGCTCCCATGTCTAATTGTGTTCCAAGAATACATCAATCATAAATATATACATACATATGGCTGTGGTACATATGTTAATGACCACAATTCTAGCTATGCATAAAGTAAAATCATGGAAATAATCTTGGCTAATTGACAAGGTGCATGAACACCTTGTGACTTAACACCTTGGCAATTAGTTGAGTTGGTTTCTGTCATTTCTTTGGCCAATATGTACAGTAACTAGCTGTAAGAGCTCAACAAGTAACAGAAGGACATGCAAGAGTACTACATGATATAGCATAAGAGGCAGCAAAGAAGACACACAGAAAGAGGGGAATTTGGCATCCCCTTCCAGAGATATCGTCTTGTGCTTCATGGCATGCCAAGCTGAAAAGCCCTCTGATAAAAGCAGAACACAGGCAACTGCTACTGGATGGAGGGAACTGAAGAACTATGCAAGTAAGTCTCTGTGTGTGTGTGGGGGGGGAGAGAGAGAGAGAGAGGAGCCTGTAATGGTGTGACACAAGATACCAGGGTTGTAAAAGGCTACAGACATTATTTATGTAATCTATATGCTGCCTTTCTCCCAGAACTGTAAGGCAGCTTACAGAACATCTTAAAGCAACAGAAGAGTAAAATGCAATGAAACCCCGAATAGCAGAATTAAATTCCATTATATAATTAGAATGCAATTAAGGTTAACATTATTTAAAATAAATTAATTAAAAATAATAGTAATAATTTATTTTAAAACAGGACGTCAGCTGAGATGTTATACTGTAGGCTTTTAATTGCTGAAGTTCAGCTTAAATGAAAAGGTGCTTGCCTGCCACTAGAAGAGAAGGGGTGGGACAAACCTAACCTATCTTACCAAGGAGTCCAAAAGACAGGTCGTGGCCACTGAGAAAGCCCTCTGCGAAATGTGAAAAATCTTGGTGCAAAACATGTCTGAATCAAACCACTATGGCTTATCACTGTACACAGTTTTGTGCATTATCAAGTAATGAAGAACTAGTTTGTTATCAGACATATACTGAGGCTGGTTACCATGATAACGCCACTCAGTTACAATAGCTTCATTGGCTGCCAGTTCAGTTTTGTGTCTTAATCAAAGTGCTGGTCATGACAGACAACCCTTTATGACTTATCTCTCTATACTAGCCTCCATATGCATTAAGATCCTCAGGGGAGTGCATTCTCTCAGTCCCACACTCTTACAAGCACATCTGGTGAGGAACTGAGAAATGGCTTTTTCTGTGGCTGTTCTCACATTACAGAATTCATTTCCTCAGGAGGTGTAGGCTGGCCCCCTTCTCTCCTTTCTTTCTGTGAAAGTGAAAACTTACTTCTTTAGAGAGGCTTTTAGGGAGCCAAGAGGCAAATGAGATGCAGAAGACTTTCAAAATGTAGTTTTAAAATATCTTTTAAATATGTATATATTCAGTTTTTAATCTAATTTTTAAAAAGTAATTATTAATTTACATTTTTAATGCTATCTTGGGTTCCCACTAGGGTAGAAAGGAGGGATAAAAATCAAATCAAACCAAACCAATCAATGAGTACTGAGCTGACAACTGTCAAAAAGCTAAAGAAACTTGAGTCTAGAAAAGGGGGAAATCCAAAATGTAAGATGAGACATAGCTCTGAGGCCTGAAGAATATCTTTAAGACAAGCTGAGGAAACTAAAGAGCTCAAATTACTCTAGGAATGTTATTGGCAAATTAGCATGCGAGCAAGGGAGTATTGCACTCTACAGTTTTATACATTAAAAATTATTTTCATCATCTGTTTTTTCCCCTTAAAGCATCTTTTAATGAAAGACTAGGTTTGTGTATCTCATGGTATTATAGTAACTAGGCTTTCTCTAATTTTCAGTTTTTCCCCACTTAATTCAACATACCAAAACACTTGCTGAGATTGGTCTGCTTATCAATAAAAACCTTGGCAGAGACGACATTCCCAAAAGGCATGAACATCTGCAGCAGGTCTTGGTCCCCAAACTCCTGGGGGAGGTGATAGATGAATAGATTGGCTCCCTCTGGACCTTTAAAACACCCATTTAGAAACACAGTCAAAGGAAGCAGAACTCTTAGAGACTTGGTATGGAAAACTGAATCAGAAATAAAACCCCATTCAGATTTGTAGAAGTGAGCTTAGATCTACAAAAGTACAAAATATTATTCAAGCTCTTCTCCTGGCACAAACCTCAGTATAAAAGACTTTTCAAAAGAAGTCTCCTCAATATGAGATTTAGGTGGATAAAAGAAAAAAGTACATCTAAACACATGAAGGGATTTTGAAAACCATGATATGATTACAAAACTAATTTTCAAGTTTTTCTCAATGCTTATAATAGCTGAAATTATGTTGCTTATTATAATCACTATAAGACTAGGCTCATGGAAACAATGGAATTCATGAAGCAGCTGACTCAACAAATCTCCATTGATTCAATGGGCCTATTCTAGTGTGATTTATTACACTAAACAAGATCCTTGCCACTGTCTCATAAATCAGAAAGTGTTAAGGCTGATTCAAATCAAATCAGTTAAGGCTGATTCCCAAAACAGAATAAAATTGATAAATATGACATTTATAAAGGTTCTAAAAGCAAAAAGCACATATTTTGTCTAAGTTAAAGGCACTGATTTAATTAGAATGCTTCCTGACAGGGCAAAAGTCATAAGAAACAATTAATGTACAGTAGTCATTTGGTCCCCTTCACAGGTTGCTGCCTTGTCGTGGCGAAGGAGCTTGAGTAATTCAGAGAAGCTATGGGCTATGCCGTGCAGGGACACCCAAGACGGATAGGTCATAGTGGAGAGTTCTGAGTAGGAACTGGCAAGCCACTCCAGTATCTTTGCCAAGAAAACTCCACGGACAGAAACAAAAGGCTAAAAGATATGACGCTAGAAGATGAGCTTCTCAGGTCGGAAGGCATCCAACATGCTACTGAGGAACAGCAGAAGACAAATGCAAGTAGCTCCAGAGCTAATGAAGTGGTTAGGCCAAAGCTGAAAGGACATTCGGCTGTGGACATGCATGGAAGTGAAAGGAAAGTCCGATGCTGCAAAGAAAAATACTGCACAGGAACCTGGAATGTAAGATTTATGAACCTTGGTAAGCTGGATGTGGTCAAACAGGAGATGGCAAGAATAAATATTGACATCCTGGGCGTCAGTGAACTAAAATGGACGGGAATGGGCGAATTCAATTCAATATAAATACTCAACTATCCAACAAACAGCAACAGAGCATGGGCAAAGTTCCTACTCCAGTCCTCTGAAGACGTTGGCCACAGAGACTGGTGAAACGTCAGGAAGAACAACCTTCAGAATACGGCCGCAGAGCCTGAAAAACCCACAACAACCACCAATTCAGACTATTATCATATCTACTATTGCGGGCAAGAATCCCATAGAAGAAATGTAGTAGCCCTCATAGTTGACAAAAGAGTGGGAAAAGCTGTACTGGGATATAATTTCAAAAATGATAGAATGATTTCAATACGAATCCAAGGCAGACCTTTCAACATCACAGTAATCCATGTTTATGTACCAACCACCAATGCTGAGGAGACTGAAATTGACCAATTTTATGAAGATTTATAACACCTTCCAGAATTTATAACACCTTCCAAAGAAAGACGTTCTTCTCATTCTAGGGGACTGAAATGCTAAAGTAGGGAGTCAAGAGATTAAAGGAACAGGTAAGTTTGGCCTTGGAGTTCAAAATGAAGCAGGGAAAAAGCTAATAGAGTTTTGTCAAGAGAACAAGCGGGTCATCACAAACACTCTTTTCCAACAACACAAGAGGCAACTCTACACATGGACATCATCAGATGGACAATACTGAAATCAGATTGATTATGTTCTCTGCAGCCAAAGATGGAGAAGCTCTATACAGTGTAAATCTAAACCAAATCCCTTATGAATAGACAGTGGAAGTGAAGAACAGATTTAAGGAACTAGATTTGGTGGACAGATTGCCTGAAGAACTATGGATGAAGGCTTGTAACATTGTACAGGAGGAAGCAACAAAAACCATCCCAAAGAAAAAGAAATGGAAGAAAGCAAAGTGGCTGTCCAACAAGGCCTTACAAATAGCAGAGAAGAGAAGGGTAACAAAATGCAAGGGAGACAGGGAAAGTTACAGAACACTGAATGCAGACTTCCAAAGAACAGAAAGGAGAGACACGAGGGCCTTCTTAAATGAAGAGTGCAAACATATAGAGGAAAATAATAGAAAGGGAAAAACAAGAGATATGTTCAAGGAAATTTGAGATATTAAAGGAACATTTTGTGCAAAGATGGACATGATAAAGGACAAAACTGGTAGGGACCTAACAAAGCAGATGACATCAAGAGGTGGCAAGAATACACAGAGAAATTCTACCAGAAAGATCTGGATGTCCTGGACAACCCAGATAATGTGGTTGCTTGACCTTGAGCCAGACATCTTGAAGAGTGAAGTCAAGTGGCCTTAGAAAGCATGGCTAACAATAAGGCCAGTGGATGTGATGGCATTCAACTTGAACCATTTAAAATCTTAAAATGTGAAGCTGTTAGGGTGCTATATTCAATATGCTCAATATGTTTGGAAAACTCAGCAGTGGCAAGAGGATTGGAAAAGATCAGTCTACATCCCAATCCCAAAGAAGGGCAGTGCCAAAGAATGCTCCAACTACCGTACAATTGCACTCATTTCGCACGCTAGCAAGGTTATGCTCAAAATCCTACAAGGTACAATTTAGCAGTATGTGGACTGAGAACTCCCAGAAGTACAAGCTGGATTTCAAAGGGGCAGAGGAACTAGAGACCAAATTGATAACATGCGCTGGATTATGGAGAAAGTCAGAGAGTTAAAAAAAAACACCCCTACTTCTGTTTTACTGACAACGCAAAAGCCTTTGACTGTGTGGACCACAGCAAACTATGGTAGGTTCTTAAAGAAATGGGAGTGCCTGATCACCTATCTATCTCCTGAGAAATCTATATGTGGGACAGGAAGCAACAGTTAGAACTGGATATGGAACAACTGATTGGTCCAAAATTGGGAAATGAGTACGACCAGGCTGTATATTGTCTCCCTGCTTATTTAACTTATATCAGAATACATCATGCAAAAGGCTGGACTGGAGGAATCCCAAGCCGGAATTAAGATTGCCACAAGAAATATCAACAACCTCCTATATGCAGATGATACCACTCTGATGGCAGAAGGGAGGAGGAATTAAAGAACCTCTTAATGAGGATGAGAGAGGAGAGCGCAAAAAATGGTCTGAAGCTGAACATCAAAAAAACTAAGATCATGGCCACTGGTCCCATCACCTCCTGTCAAATAGAAGGGGAAGATATGGAGGCAGTGACAGATTTTACTTTCTTGGGCTACATGATCACTGCAGATGGTGACAGCAGCTACGAAATTAAAAGACGCCTGCCTCTTGGGAGGAAAGCAATGATAAACCTAGACAGCATCTTAAAAAGCAGAGATAGCACCTTGCCAACAAAAGTTCGCATAGTCAAAGCTAGGGTTTTTCCAGTAGCGATGTATGGAAGCGAGAGCTGGACCATAAAGAAGGCAGACCGCCAAAGAATTGATGCTTTTGAATTGTGAGACTCTTGAGAGTCCCCTGGATTGCAAGGAGAACAAACCAATCCATTCTGAAGGAAATCAACCCTGAGTGCTCACTGGAAGGACAGATCTTGAAGCTGAGGCCATCTCATGAGAAGAGAAGACTCCCTGGAAAAGACGCTGATGCTAGGAAAATGTGAAGTCAGGAGGAGAGGGGACGACAGAGAACAAGATGGTCGGACAGTGTCATTGAAGCTACCAACATGAATTTGACCCAACTCCAGGAGGCAGTGGAAGATAGGAGGGCCTGGCGTGCTCTGGTCCATGGGGTCACAAAGAGTCGGACACAACTTAACGGCTAAACAACAAAAGTCATTTGGTGGAAGAGTCCAAACAATAGTTTACAGAGATCGAGAGTATACAGATTGCTAGTTTACAGATTTTTTGTCCATGGCTTCTACAGTTACATAAGACAATGCTCTATGTGTAACAACATAGGTGGCAATTCTGCAGTTCAACCATTCATGAACAATCCTTTCCACAATTGTCTTCCGCTTACCTTCCTTTTGACTTCCTGCTGCACCAATACTCTGCTGTGTTAACAGACTCTGGTTATAGAGGGTGGGCAGTGCAGCAGCAGCATATTGCTGGATCCCAGAATAGGCCTGAGATAGGGCCTCCATTGTGCTCCCTGTGCCATTTGAAAGGCCACCACTGCCTAGCCCACCATTTAAGGCTGCCATTCCTATGCAGATAAAATGAACAAATGTTCGTTAGGAAATGACTTGTGGATGAGTTTTCAAAACATACTGTACATGTTGGTACTATACTCAGAGACCCATCAGGAAAAACAAAACAAATAGCAAATTCTGGGTGGCATTTTCATACTGAACTCACCTGCTAAAGACCCAACATTGAGACCAGCAGTAGCCCCTGCGAGGGTTTGCAGTGCTCCAAGAGAAGCCATTGGATTAACAGAGGAGCTGCTACTGGAACTAGGTGATGAACCTGCTATTAAAATGAGAAAGTAAAACACCAACAGCTGCTTCCAACATATGTCTTACTATTTTCTTCAACATGCCAGAAAATGTTGAATTAATGTTATGTACAAAGAATGCTAAGGATAATTTAAAATACCAAAAAAGAGTGAGTTCCCATCTATTTGGCTCTGGTTAGGCATCATCTTGAGTATTGTGTCCAGTTCTGGACACTGCACTTCAAGAAGGATGCTGATAAACTGGAACAGAGGAGGGCAACATGGATGATCAGGGGACTGGAAACCAAACCCAATGAGGAAAGATTGAAAGAACTCGGCATATTTAGCCTTGAGAAAAGAATACCGAGGGAAGATATGATAACACTTTTCAACTAAGAGGACAGGCAAGACCTGTTCTCAATCATCTCAGAGTATAGGCCACGCAACAATGGGCTCAAGTTACAGGAAGCCAGATTTTGATTGAATATAAAGAAAAACCTCCTAACTGTTAGAACAGTATGGCAATAGAATCAATCACCTCGAGAGGTGGTGAGTGCTCCAACACCAGAGGCATTCAAGAAAAATTTAGACAACCACATGGCAGATATGCTTTGACTTGTATTCCTGCACTGAGCAAGGGTTAGACTCAATGGCCTTATAGGCCCCTTCCAACTTTAGTGCAGGCTCATTTTGGATGCATTCCTCAAATACTGTCTCAATATTGCCTAAAAACAAATGAACACACCCATGAACACTGATCATCCACTATTCAAAGTCAGCATCAATCCCTCCAGTGCATTCTCTGACATGCAAAGAAAACATGATATAATCTCCTGTCATTTGTGTATGATGTGGTGTAGGTAAGAGACAGTGGGAGTTTCTCCCATAGCTCAGAAGGACTGCTGTGTTTTATGTGCAAGGAAACTGAAATGGATATAAGACCTCTGGGGTAGGGATGCTTGCAAGCTGGCAAGTGGATCTGTCAAAAGAAATTATCAGAGAACAATTTATACGAGGCTAGAGTTAACATTCAAGTTGATGGCTCTGTATCAGATGATGTATACAATGACCTCCTTCTGGGTAGCAACTCTTTCTATATTCTAGTGTCACATTGAAGTACTGCCAAAATCTAAACCTAAAGCATAATTCCTTTTAAGTTCTACAAAGCAGAGTAAATAGACTGCCAGTAGAGGAACAAAACTTGTTTCACTGGGGCAACAGATTAGTTTACTGACCACCCATTATTCAAGGTCATCACCAATCACTCCAGTGCATTCTCATTAGAGACAGGTTTAATTTCCATCTGACTATCTACTTGAATAAACCCTTTATTTTCTTCTATCCATATAAGAGAGCTGCTACTGAAGTCCATGGAAAGAGTAAACCATTGCCACCTGGGGAGCTCTGAAAGCAGTAAGGGTAAAACGTGCCCCATGCATAGGACAACAGGTGGTTTGCACTACGTCAACAGGTTGACTGATGTTTATGTGTGTCTACATGTACATACTATTCATAAAAATGAGTAACAGAATTCACTGGAGAATCTGAGATAAATAATGTTCTAATGCTTAAAGAACAGATAGATGATCAATTACATTTTGAAACAAAAACACATCCTTTAATGAAAATTTAAATAAATTATTCTTTCTCATACATTGGTATGAGCACAGTTATCTTCTGTGTACATGAGACACTGGCACTGTCTTTCCCCTCATCAAATACAATTGGCAGAATTATGCTTTCAGGACAGTGGAACAGTAGCATCTTGGCACACAGTAGCTAACGGTTTCAATATTAAATCCTGAACAGCTACTTCTTCTGCCATTAGTGAAACAGCCCTAAGACATGCAACAACACCGTATTAGATTAAGAAATGGCCTTCTTACCTGAATTGGTGAGTACACTGAGAGGACTATTGGAAGAACTCAGTGCAGTAGTACCACTTGGTGTGCTCTGAGCTGCACTGGCTGCAGCTGCTAATGCAGCTAAATTCTGTAACTGCATCGCATTCAACCCTGCAACACATCAATCAATGCATATTGCATCTGTTCCTGTGCTACTAACTACAAGGTCTATGACAGACCCAGAAGCAGTATCACAGAAGACTTGTGAGGAGGGGGATGAAACCAATATAAACCTCATTGTACAAAAAAAATATTATTTGGTATGTAATATATAACCTGTAATGTCTAAGCAACAACAGTTCATTCCATCAAGTCGCATGTAGCACAGGGAGAAAAGAAGGGCAAGATTATCCTCATGGTTAGTTTAGCTGCATCTGAAACGTTTCATCCTAGCTGGTCATTTAAAGAACTCTTGTGATATCCAAAGTTTGCTCATTTTCATCTTCTGTCCCTGCATGTTTTTCTTTTTATCATGTCTTTGAGAATGTGAGTTGCTAGTAGAATCCTGTCTTCATTATTTCTGATCTCAAGTAAGCTGGTCTTCCAAACTTAGTTTGAAGAGGGGTGCAAATGCTTTTTAAAAATGGGATTAAAAATTAACCACACACTTCCCCCCCCCAGTTTTTTTGGTGATCCTTGGTAAATCTAAAACGTCTCAAAGTATACATTATAAACCACTCACATTCAGCCCCTGCCTAGCCTATAAAGTTAAAAATAACTGCAACTGCCAATGTTTTTAAATCTCTATAGTGGCTACATGTTAAAGCAACAACAGGACCAATCTGTAGTCCTTCAGATGCTGCTAAATTGCATGTTTCTTTCATAATCTGAAACCAATGGTAAGGGAAGAGGCAAGTTCAACAAAATCTGCAGGTCACAAGTTGTCTAGTCTATGTTAGAGAAGCAGAGTCCAGAGGTATATTCAGTTGAAGGAAAAATACAACTGTTAAAATACAGGTGTTCCAAACTGACCATAAAATCCTGATAACCCCTTTTTCTTTCACTGATGACAATTGGATAGTTATCTCCACCATCCATCCAATGTTCCAAGTACATATTATCATCAAAATTGTACACATTTTAATATTGCTTCTTCAAGTTTGCTCAAGGTGCCTTGTTCTTGATTAATCTTATACAGCAGTTTCCTTTTCAAATAAAAAGCTTATGAAACTTTGTTTATCCTTTTATGGACTATAGCCCTTTAATGTTTAAATCAAAGATACTATAAATCACCTACACACTTAAGGACCTCTACATCATTTTGTTTTAAATCTTAGAGAGGGATTATTCTGAAACTGTAGTTTAGGAATACTTTAAATAAACACTATCATCTGACACAGAAAATATGTTAAATTGTAGATTAGTGGGACAAGCAAAAAAAAAAAAAAAAGGAATGTTTAATGTTATTTTGCTAATATATGAAACCCAGATTTTCTCCTTTCTTCAAAAACTCCGTTGTCTGTAAACAGGTAAAAATACAGGTTGGTCAAACAGAAGAGCACAGCTGAGTATAATGGGGCTCTAAAATAAAACATATGATGTTCTTTATTTTAAAGTAGTACTTCTCCTGTGGCAAACATGGGAATTTGTAGAAATTCATATTTCTACTAACTAACTGGACATAAAAGAGCAATAGGTAATATCTAATTACTCCTTCCCCTCACTGGAATAACTTCAACTGGCAGAAGGGGAAACAGTTTATCTCCTCCTGCAGCTGTCAGTGTCTCCTCAAAACCTATTTTAGAAGGTATGGGCTCCTCCAGAGCAGATTTTTTTTTTAAATGGGGGGCGCAGAGTCATAAGAGGAGGAGTAGAAAAGCAGAATATTCTGCTGCGCATGAGGAAGTATCTGGAAAATCAAAAAGATTCCAGACTTTGTCTTAAGAATGTCTCACTTCACAATATGTGATATATTAGCATTAAACAGCTTCTAGAAAGGATAGGATAGCTAAAGATATTCAGTTACTATATTTTATCCTTTCAAATTTATTTTTCACATTTACATTCTACTTTTCTTCCGGTGACTTCAAGATAGCATATTTTTGTTTAAAATATTTTACCCCATCATTCTCCTAAAAAAAGAACCCAAGATGGCGTACATCATTAAAAACACAAAGTTAAAATCTAAAACAGCATATTATTCAAATATTTTAAAAGGATTAATGCCATAATAGTAAAAATGTTAGGTAAAAGCAACAAAATATAAATACTCTTATTTATTGTCTCTTCATCAGGCATTAAAGAAAAGCCTGAGTGAAGAGAAATGTCTTCACCTGCTTGCAGAAATACAGCAAAGATGACACCAGCCTGGCCTCCTGTGGGAGTTCCAGAGTCTGGGAGTAGTGACAGAGAAAGCCCTCTCCTGTGTCCCCACCAAGCATACCTGTAATGGTGGTGGGATTGAGAGAAAGGCCTCCTCTGATCTCAACACCTTGGTGGTCTCATAAAGGAAGATGCAATCCATGAGACAGCTTGAACCCAAGCTATTTAGGGCTTTATAGGTTAAAACCAGCACTTTGAATTGTGCCTGGAAGCGGACCAGCAGCCAGTGAAGCTGATATAACAAAGGAGTCAGGAGTGACCAACCCCAGTTAACAATCTGGCTGAAATGTTTTGGGCCTGCTTCCAAGCACTTTCCAAAGGTAGCCCCACATAGAGTGTGCTATGGTAATCCAGCCAAGATATAAGTAAAGCATGTGTCAGGTCAGGTCAGACTTCTCCAGAAATGGGTGCAGCTGACATACTAGTTTTAACTGCGCAGAGGCACTCTTGGCCACTGCCAAAGCCTAGGCAGGTTCAGAGATGAGTCCAGGAGCACACCCAAACTGTGCACTTATGTTTTCAGAGGGAGTGTAATCCCATCCAGTACAGGCTGAATCCTTATTCCTTAATCAGCCTTTCGAATAACTAGGAGCACCTAGGTCTTGTCCAGAGTAAGTTTCAGTTTATTTAGCCTCATTCAGCATTACCAACACCAGATATTGATCAAGAGCCGAAACAGCTAAAATACATGACTCTCCTGCTCCCTCATTCATTTTCACAACAACGCTAATCTGAGAGAGACTTGCTGACTTTATCAACCAGTGAGTTTTATGTTTCGGGGGGACTAGCACCTGGACAGCCCTCTGAGTTCCTAGCCCCAAACCTGAATCACTACACCATGGTGACTGGAGGATGCTTCTAAGGAAAGTGAGAGCTAGTAGTAAAAAAAATGCATAAGCACCAGACAGTGTTGTACTACTGTTGAATCTGAATGGAGAAAAACAGCAATCTGGGCGACTTCCATTGTTCAGGAAACAATCTAGGCTAGTCAGAAAGCACAGGTGAAGAATACATAACGGAAATTGCGTATCTCGTAAGCAAAGAGAAAGACAAACTTTAAAACAGGTACAGATTAGGTATAATTCAGAAGGGACACAAACTGCAAAGTTGGCTGACTACAACCACATTTTCTACTGTTTTACTTTCTGAAGAACAGAGGATGGTGCAAATTTGCTTTCAAAGGCCTAGAAAGAATGCAAAGGCAGTGGAGAGAAAAGCACTCCATTCTGAGTCCTCTCTCTTGTAGGCAACTATCTTCTGTGACATTAGTATATTGCACCAACACTCTTAATGACCTTCTTTACTGGCTATCACAATCAGAAATTTTCATTTTGATGTCAAACCTGCATTCAGATTCCAGGAGTCAGAGGGAGAAACTAACTTACCTCCCATTGGGTGAAGGTTGCCCAGTGTGTTCAGATTCCCAGAGGAGGCAGCTGCTGTCTGCTGAAGGAGCTGTAAATAAAGCTAGACATTACACCAAAAACAGAACAAGAGTGAGAATGAGGGCTGGCTCCATTCCTGGGAGACACTGCACTACACCACAGCCAGAGTGCCGTTACAAGCAGAACTTTCAACGCTGATGCATCACCAGACCAAGCTACACACAAAGCAATGGCATTCCTAAGTACCACAGGATGCCTCACGCCACAGTAAACACTTCAGACTTTGGTAGCATAGTAAAATTTAAAAAAAACAAAAAACAGTTTCTTTTCTCAATTTACTTGATAAACAAAACACTCTACAAGGCCAGTCATTTAGTCTTCTCTCTGTCTTCCCCATATCTGCCACACCAGTATAAATATATTAATGTTATGAACTGTAACAATTTAGTAACTAGAGACACAACTAAATAACCTACATTTACCATTGTTCCCAAGAAATACTAAAACAAAGCGAAATTTTTGCAACAGAGTCACAGCACAAATTTATAACAAGCCATAAGTGTAAATAAGTTGTCTCGGCAATGATTCTGCACAGTAAACACACTCACTACTAAATACTGGGGTCCAAGTGTATTCAGTCCAGCCAGGTTTCCCCAAACGGAGGCAGCACTAATTTGTTGCATCTGTTGTTGAAGCTGCTGTGCAAGCCGTTTCTGTTCTTTATCCTTATGGGTATCCGCAAATTTCACTACGATGGGCGAAGAGCACCCCTGCAATGTAATTCATGTGAATATATATTTGTGAATCACCTCCAAATCTTAGAACAGGTCCCTATAGGTTTTAACCTACAAAAAGGATGGAGAACCCAGACTGGGGTGGGGGTCCTTATTTTGCCTACAAACCTCTGCTGTTATGTCTGAGTAGTGACTAGACAAAGGAGAGAATTTGAAGACCGGGAAGCTTTTGGTTGTAACTGAGTTTGCTTTACAGCCAGGGACACTGTTGCACTGAGTCTTTTTTTCTAAGTAGACATGAACTAAGCCTACTTTGCATGTATGACAGAAAGTGTCCAAGCTGATAGGAATTAATTTGCTCCTCCCACTCTGTTGTGGTCCAACTGTGCTTCCTTCCCCCCAGAAACCTATTCCAAATTGGAATTCATCTCCCAGCTTGAAAAAGGATCCCCACCTCATATTTTAAGGAACAATAATCCTATTCAAACAACCTCCCACAGTTCAGAATTCCAATCCTGTTGTATTTCTATGCTTTGTACTTTATGTATCTCATTCTTTTTCTCATGAAATCAGAAAAAGAACCAAGAGATGTAAGCAAAGGATATTGAAAATTGCGAATTTTCAGACATTTGAAACTGTGTTACAAAGAATCCGCAGCTCATTTAAATTGCAAGGTCTGTGTGTATCTTCCATCCAACCCAATAAAATGTCATTTCCTACCTCCATGGTCTGTGCTTGATGCATTGCTTTAATTGCTGTTTGTGCCATAGCTCTTGTTGTAAAAGTCACAAAAGCACAACCTGGAAAGAGAAACAGGATCAAACTCACTTACCAATTAGGCTTATCCAAGTAATAGATATTCCAAAATACAAAAGGGAATCCTGTTGATTTTCCAACCATTCCCAAAGGAACACCAGGTGATCAGGGAAAGAGAGATCTACAGTGATGCCTCGCTTAATGAGCGCCCGGGTTAACGACGAAATTGCATAGCGTTTTGGTTTTTGCGATTGCAAAAGCGATCGCATTGCGATGTTTTAAATGGGGAAAAATCGCTTTGCGATGATCGGTAAGCTGTTTTGCTTACCGATTTTCGCATAACGATGTTTTCCCAACAACTGATCGGCGGTTCCAAAATGGCCACCGGGTAAGAAACATGGCCACCCGCTGTGTTTTGGGACGGATTCCTCGCATACCAGGCAGCGAAAATGGCCGCCGTATGGAGGATTTTCGCTTAAAGGTAAGTTTTTTGCCCATAGGAACGCATTGAAGGGGTTTCAATGCATTCCTATGGGCTTTCAAAAATCGCTTAGCGATGTTTTCGGTTAACGGCGATTTTTGCTGCACCGATTAACATCGCTAAGCGAGGCACCACTCTATAAGGCTCAGGTGGACAAAGAGTGGCCCAGCCCGTAAGTTGCCCTCCCAGGCACCTGTCCCTACTGCAATTCCTCCCCCCCCCCACAATTTTCAAAATTATTTTGCTTCAGAACTTCCCTTGCACTCTCTATGAGGCACTGGGGGCAATTCTGCCAGGCTCTGCGGGGCTTCCAGCTCTCCTGGCACCCATATTATATTGGCCACTAAAGGACATAAGAGAGTACAGTGGTGCCTCACAAGATGATTTTAATTCATTCCATGAAAATCATCTTGCGAGGTTCCCTATGCATCTAAAAAAAAAAAAGTCTTGCGAAGCATCGGTCTAAAAAAAAAGTCCTGTGAAGCATCAGTTTAGAAAAAAGTCTTGCGAAGCACGGTAATAGAAAAAAAAGTCTTGCGAGGCACCATAGTGATCGCAAAAACCAATCATCTTGCGGGTTTTTCGTCCCATGATGCAATCGTCTAGTGAGGCACCACTGTAGTTTCCCTCGTTTAATAAAATGCCAATGTAGCAACTTGTCTGGGGCACAAATTCTGCCCTTAATTTTTTTTTTAAAAGTCAGTAAGCAAATTAGTCCCTTTAATCCCACCCTTTGGAATGTTATTCTTGGGTTGCCAGCAAATCTGGAAAATGGGCCTCAATCCTCCTGAGATCATTAACTCCTGCTACAATGGAAACTAGCAATCACATATCAGTTATTTGTACCTCGGCTTAAGCCATCAGGACCCCGCAATATCCTGCATTCTTCAATCTGTCCAAACGAGGAGAACATTACTCTGATATCAGTTTCATTGCACTTCTTGGAGATCATCCCAATGAACAGTTTCCTGTCTTCCACTGCTAATAAGTATGAAGTATGTAAGGAAAAAAGGGGGAAGAAAGACACTAGTATCTACAATGTTTAAATAAATGCATAAAATAAAAATACAAATAAATCATTGTTTACAATCCTGAGTTTCCAAAAAATAGGAATGTTAGCCTGTCCTGGCATCTTGGCAAACTAAAGGGGCAAGAGAAAAGGGGGGTAGGGAGAAAGAGTCAAAGCACTGTGACACTTTTAACAGATTTATTTCAGTGTGAGCTTTTATGAATTCCATGGATTCCAAAGACACAGATTTTGATACACGCTGAAATAAATCTATTACCCTGCATTTTATAGAATATATCATTTCCTGATGAAGAAACTAGAGAAAGTGAAAAATTTACGTGACTACAGGGAAAAAAAACACTGAACACAAACTTTTGTTCTAAGAAATTGATAATACTATTAATAGCAAAAATATCTGCTCATTTCACCTTCAGCACAAGTAGGTTTGTAAAAGACAGAATTTCCAATACGTGACAAGCTTGAAAGCTTGAACATAATGTCCTATTGTCAAAGTATCTTCACCAGTTACTACATCTTATAACCTATTTACAGAAATGAAATGTTTATATTACATGTTTTTGTAGAAACTAGAAATTTTTAAAAGTTATCTTCCTTAACTTGATGGTATGGCTGTAACAACTGCAAGGAAAAGCAAGCAAACATACTGCTCTACTTTTTCTTTTATACTCTGTTTGAAAACTTCCTATTTGTTCAAGATGTGTTCTAAATCTTACTTTTAACATTCATCTCAGTTCTTCCAGGGACACTGAAAGAAGTTTTTCCCAAACATAACATTTACAGTGGAACTTAATACTGCAAAATGGATTACTTTCATTGCTGCTATCAATGTCAGATTTATATGACTTGACAGTGGACCACATTCTTTCATTGCTTAGTATCTGCTCAACCACTTTCACTTAAGAGACAAGAATCAGCTCCTGCAAGTCAGCTTCTAAAAACTATAACATGTAGCAGGAACTAAAAGACACTGTGCAAAGGCAGCAACAACAAGGGACAATTTGATAGCTTGCTCACATGGAGGTTAGCTACAGCAGATCTCCTTCACTTACAAATTAAATGGTTCCCAGACAACAGTTCCAAAGTAAATCATTTAAGTCCAATCCTATAGTCAAATCAGGTTCAATGTTAAAACAGGGATTTGGTTCCTGGACAATTTACATGCCATATATGAAACTGCTTTTAAAAATTTATTTACCTGTCAAAGCTCCCTACCTTGGTTTGAACAAGAGAGCCACCACAGGTAAGGGTCTTTGCACTGTTTACTAGTTTACTAAACTGGAACGAGGAGATGTCTCGTGTAACAGATTGAATGAAATGAAAGAACGCTAGTTTTGAAATACTTACCATTATTCTTTTCACTATCTGCTGGTTTCATTTGGATAGGGTGGTGCATCTATGACAAAGAAACAATTGGAGTCATGTAAGAAAAAGACTTATTTTCTATAGCAAAATATCTCTAGCCTCTCTAGCTGAATTTAAAGTTCCTCTAGTCAGATAATCTGTAACCTTGTATCAAGAAATGCTTGTACTTGTGTTTGTAAAATAAAAAGTTTCCATATATTCCATCCCAGAAAATCAGCCTCCTTGTGTATGATTTCATTTGGGTAAGTTAAAAGATAGAAAATATCAGAGAAAAGGTGTGTTTACTGCCTTACCCCTGGGAGGATCTTCATGTTGTGAAGAGCATTCTGTGCTTCTAGTGCAGCTTTACGCGTATAAAATGTAACAAAACAGCACCCTATAATGAAAAAAAATTCTGTGAGACAAAACATGAAAAGCAACTTACCATACAAATTCAATAGGTGAAAGTAGACATAGGAGTTTCATATTCACAGAACCAACCCTGTCCTTTCAACGGGCTCCCCGCATAGCACATGATATCAGTTGCCATCGTTGGCAACATTATGCCAATCACAGAACTAGTCTCGCCTCTCCCCACAGCTGACCACTCCAGCAAGGAGGCAGGAAGTCTCTCCACTCAGTTGTTGAGTGGTTGGCTCATGGGAGAGGTGGGGCAGTGCCCATGAGACTACTTCCGCGATTGGTGCAATGTTGCCACCAATGGATGTGTGTTGTGAGGAGCCCGATAAGTGGACCAGCCAAGTTCTGGGGGGCAGGAATGGACCACTGTTGCACCTGTGGTGTCAAGCTTCATATTTGGATTGACCAGGATATGAATATGAAGATTCTATGTTTAACTGAATAAGTAAAAGTGTTTCTGTCAAAACAAATGTACTTAATACCTTACCTACAACATTCTCTCGAATTTTCCAGAGCTCTGTGCAGATGCTCCACCTCCCCTGTGTCTGGGATTTTGGCTGCAGCCAGAATCAAATGATTGAAAACACTAGCTCAGCTGTGCACGCCCAATGCAGTGCTGTGTGCCTTAGAGTAGGGGTCCCCAACCCCCAATCTGAGGCCCACTGCTGGTCCGTGGGCTTCACAGGACTGGGCCATGGAGACTGAGCTCCCATCCCCCGCATGTACTCTCCCCCCACATGACCACCTGCACGCATGGGCCGCCCACCTGCACACATGAGTATGCCATGCTCACACACAACACACATCAAGAGTGGAGATGGAGGTAGACAACCAGTTCTACTTCCCTTCACACAGTAAAACTCGATACTTGATCCTGGTACTAGAAGTCTATAGCAGTACATCTTAGGATTTTGCTTAAAAACTCCTGAAATCTAGATAGCAGGCCAGGATAATTTTTGGACTTTTCTGTTCCCATCCCCATGCAAGCTCTGTAACGGCCAATTTAAAGAAGAATCTTGAGGGATTTGATAGTTCGGGGGTTCTGGTATTACCCCATTCAATGTTGGATTTTATACAAGTACCACATTGGCTTTCCTCCACTTTACTGAGCAGAATTAAAATTAATGAACCAAAATATTTAAACACTATGAATTGAATCCAGAGTTGCACAGAGTGGAATCATCACAAACTGGATGATCAAGCCACAGAAAGCCACTTTTCATCTCTGTCACAGGATACCATGTCCTTGAAAATCTGTTATTATAATACCCATGAGAACAGTGCAAGGTTGTACTGGGAGCTTTGGAGGACAGGGAACAATGATAAAAATCAGTTCCTTCTCCATTCTGCTAATGGAGCCATCCAGTAGATCAGCTGGGTTAGTTGGGACCTCTTAAAGTATCAACAAAAGAAGTGGTTTCCCAAGAAAAATTCTGTCACAAAGAAACATGTGGGACTTTAAATCCTAGTCCAAGTCTTCTAGAGCATGAGCTAGACATACTTCAACAAGACCTCTCAGCTTCCCAATGGATTTAATTGTTGGACCTGAATGGATTCTGTAATGTTTGAATATTTAAACTGATATGGTGTTGTAAAGAATATATAGATACCGTAAATAATTCATATTTAGCCATTCTGCATGGGTTGTTTTACTTAGGTTACTTGGATGAGCACAGTGTTTCTCCTGTTTTGGGGGACATATTTCTTCCTACCAGCAAGAAGGCTTTCCTCTTGTTTTCCTCTGCAGTGTGAGAATATTAAATATAGCATTTCCACCATGCCCTCTAGCAGCCTGAAGCAAGGTAGATTTGGTTTAAATCACACTGAATGAAATAATGATTTAAATCACTAGTCAATAAGCATTTTTTAAAAAAACTAAATTTAAATAAAAAATCAATTTTAAAAATTTAAATCAGATTTTTAAAATTTAAATTGGATTTTAAATGCTGTGACTAAATTGATTTTATTTAAATCAAATGCACACTGGTCTGAAGTGTTGTACTCTGCATGCTACAATTTCTGGTTTCTAACATCTTTGCCTATATATACCATACCTAAGTTTCCAGAATAGAAACTTTGATAAATAAGTACTAGTCTGATACTGCATGAAATGTATTCATGTTCCTCATTCTCAGCTTTAATTAAACAACACTAAGGGTGACCCAATGAGTAATCTAGAGTGGACGAGGAGTCTGGGAACTTCAAGAATTATTTGGGAGCTTTGCTTCACATTTTAAAACTAAGCTGACCTGGACAAAAAACATACTAAATGTGTACAAAATATTCCATTGGACGTTTATTGGAGACAGACTGATTGGGAATCTTATCTGGAATACAGTCTGACAGTATAATAGTTGGTGAATGAAGGTAAGAGTAAAGATAACTTCACACGTTATGGCTTTTAAATATACAGTTATTAAAATAATTAGGCAAGTGTACACTTGGAAATACTGATATAGGTAAATCTGAGAAAATAACAAAGTGAATGATGTTCTCTGTTAAATTCTCATTCAGACCAAAGCAACCAAGCCAAACATAGCCAGACTTTTGCAAACTTATATACAATAGTTTTGGAACCATAACTTTCTAGTGGAGAAGGAAAAAAAGAAATCTCTCACCTTTGCTCTGGGGAGGATTTTGGCTCCTGTCCCGCAGGACATTGATCTCATAGACAGCACCATACTGTTCAAATAGTTCCCGCAGGTCTTTTTCAGACCAACTCCGTGGGACCTGGCCCACAAACATCTTGATCGCATCTATGTCTGGTTGGTCAGGATGATCCAGTGTGCCATTCATTTTCTTTGAGCTGCATGAATTAATGAGAAACATCTGGTAAATAGCTTTCTTCACTACATCTCAGTCAAACCAATTTCCCAATGTATCAGAAGAATGCTAAAACTTCAATGTTGTTTAAGAAGTAACTAGGTGATGTGAGATAGTCGGGGGGGGGGGAATATTAACCAATTCTGGTCACTGAAATTCTCATTTGATCAACCCAAAATATCATCATTACCTCTAACAATGAGCAAGCAGTGAATGCTGAAAGAGACAGAGTCAACCCAAAATATCACCACTCTAACAAATAAACAAGCACTGAATTTGAGAAAAACTAAGTCAACATATTGTCACTGAGAAACAAGAAATAGGTGTCATGCTGAGGTTTACTCTAAGATTTGAAAACTGAAGGTTTGAAAGAAATTGTCAAAAGTAGAAACCCTGAGAGGGGAATTACCCCTCAAAAAACAGCTACCGACCATACAGGCCCGAGTATGTTCAGCAGTCACAGAATGTTGTGCATGAGCTGAAAACAACAACAAAACAAAGAAGAAAGAGAGTTTCTCTTTGAGGTGAGGATATACTATCAAGGAGATGACAAACTTTTAAGTGGTTTGGTCCCCAGAAGCTAAAATTATCTAGGCACATGAATAGGGGCATTATTAAGACCACAGAAAATGGGCTCTAATTGTTTGCAAAGGCAAACTAGCATTTAGAAATAGTCTGCAAAAGATATAGGGAGAATGAAAATAGAGATGCAGGATTTTTTACAAAACATCCCCATTACATCATTCTAAGCTTCTTTATACAGAATTTGGAGTACATTATCCTACACTGTGACATTCAGATTATACCAATGGTGGGGGAAATTCCGAATTTATTATTTATTATAAACCCTACCACCTACTTGACTGAATTGGGGAAAATGCAGAGATATTCTTATTCAGGTCTGAGCAAAAGGCCAAGAAAAAACAGTAGCCTTGTTTAATCCTGTCAAACAAACGAGTTTCTCCTAAAATATGGTAATTCTAAAGTACTAACATACTAAAATATGGTAATTCTAAAGTAATAACTAAGGGAATATTTGGATTGAGAATCCAACTGGTCAAAAAAGATTTTTTCAACTGATTGGTCAAACAACAGTCAAGTGCTTTCAAAGTATTAACTGAACAACAAATAATAGGTTTACCATGAATAGCTACCATATTTATGCTAACAATAGAAACAGGATATATAACTTTTGAGTGGTTGAAATCCAGAAGTCAGTCACAACTGGAGTAGGACCTCTGAATCAATGGAATTTACAGAGGAAGTTTAATCACCGAATCCCTTCTGATTCAATGGCCCTATGCTAGTTGTGCTTTACTACTGCATTTTATCCACTGTGAAACAAAGAGTGAGGTGTAGATGCAGCCCTCTACATTCAGAAGGGTAAATCTTGTCCAGAGGGAAACAGCATCCAGTGAAGGTGCCCTGCTAAAGGAAAAGGAAGGGCAACAGTTTTTGTAGATTCCTCTTTCCTCTTATAACCTCCAGCACTGCCATCTACCATATTCTAGAGCAGTGATTCCCAACCTTGGTTATGTATACCCCCAGGGGCATGAATCACAACATTTAGGGGTATGCAGGGAAAAAATGAATAATGGTGGGAAAAGGCATATACTTCAACAGTGTAAGTCACTTATTTATATCCCGAGCAGTGAGAAATCCCTCAGCTTCTTCCTTCTCTCTCCATCCACAACTTGATAGCCCAGCCAATTGACTATCACTCCAAACAGCATCTATTCTTGTTCCACCACTAACCTGGGGGCTTGGACTGTCTGCTCCTTTCCTATTGACTGCAATTTATATGGGACAATTCCTTACGGATTTTAACCTCTTTGCTGGTGTGCCTGTGCACACTACCAGAGGTGATGAGGAAGACAAGAGAACAAGAGTCCCCTCCCTAGCCCTGCCCCTTAATATGCAGGGTATAATTTCTGGAACTGGGCTGCCAAGGGGTACACAAGTTAAAAAAAGGTTGGGAACCACTGTTCTACAGCATTTCATAACCCTTCACAGCAGTTTTTCAGTAAACACAAAGGCTGGGAGGGATGCACGCTAGCAAAAATCACTATTCAATCTCCTTCTTCCAACATGAATGGAATTCTAGATCAAACTTAACTTTTAAAATATGAATTGAACAGTTTCCTTCTCTAGTTTTAATTATACACTACCATGTTCAATCTATATTTATAAAATAAAAGTTATCACTGTACCAAATTGGGATTCTTGGCTTCATGGAATATCTGACTACGATGCTTGTTCCACAGATATTTGTTGGGTTTTAGAGAGATGGAGGGGTGCTATTTAGACTACTGAATTATTGACTTCACTGAAACATCCACATTCTTCTACTTTATTGAACACCTGAAGGGTGTGACACTGGTTTTGCTGGTTCAATTTGATACTCTAATTAATATGAAAAGATTTGTGTGTCTGGGATTATAGACAACATATAACCTGTCAAAGCTTTTCTGTCAGCCACAAAATGAAATTTTTACAGTCTTATCTATGGTCTTCTTACAGACCAAGAATGTACAATTCCTTCTTTGGGAAATGGCTTATAGAACAATGGTAACGGGGACAAAAGAGAAGCGCGACAACAATCTGAGCACATAATGTTCACTCCTACTTTATACAAGATGAATATTGCAAATCCTGATATATTATGTTCTAGTACTCACTTTGTGTTCTCTTGTTGCCACTTACTTGCTGTAAACTGTCTTAAACCAATGTTTACAGAAATGCAATACACAAAGTAACTGACTACAATAAAATTACCAACTGTTCTAAGAGTAGATGAGGCAAGGAATAGAAAGCTCTCCTCACTCCCATCAGAACACTGTCATATTCTGTCAGAGGACAAGTACAGCATCAAAAGTAAAAATACTTTTTAGTGAAGTCACTTGATGTGTTATTAGTTTTAGAAGTCATCAGTGTGACTGATTCATAAACTCATCTATATTCTACAAAATTAAGGACTGTATTGACAACTAACTTGCCAGGAAAACTCTTTGTTACACTCTGTTATCCCATCTATTTAGACACATTTCTCTGTTTGAAGGTAAGAACTGGGTTTGGATGTAACAGACCATTTCTGCAGTTGCTTAAAGGATCCTCTCATCCTTACATGTGCAAATGTCTACATCTTTACCAGTTGTTAGAAAGAAGCAGAAATGTTATTACTTCCATAGGGTCCTGAAGAGGAGGGAATAACTTCATTGCACCTTTCAGTATTTTACCTCACCACTAAGGAATCAGATATTCATAATATTTAGATTAACATGTGTTTGTTCCATGCACTGCAAACTTCAGCTGTTTATTTCATGCCATTTTTTGCTAGAAGTTTCTCTGAATTTTTCAACATGTAATTTTAAAAGTTGATTTGAAGAAAACAGCTGAGAAAATTGCCTTTTTAAACTAAAAAGCAAAAAAGCAAAGTGTGCTGCTTTTATACCACCCCATAGTACTTAAAGCATTCTCTGGATGGTTTACATTTTAATTATGCAGGTTACACATCCCCTCCTCCCTGTGAGCTGGATACTCAATTTACCAACCTCAGAAGGATGGACGACTTAAAGTTAACCTTGAGCCAGCTACCTGAGCTTGTTGGGATGGAACTCAGGTTGTAAGCGAAGTCTTAACTGCAGTACTGCAGTTTAATCACTGCACAACGAGGCTCAATGAAAGAAGGATGCAAGTTGCTGGCCATATGGACAGTTAAAATTAATTCACACTTGTTCTTAAATGTATGATTTGGAGATTTCATAAAAATCAAGAAACCTCAATTTCGTATACACACCAAAAGAGCAGCACGCTGTTTAGTTATAAAATGAAGATATTTGCCTTCCATATTTGACAAGTACAGCCAGATGCATCCATCCCTTAATGAGTTAAACTCACAGTTGAGGTCTTTAGGATCCAAGTATTAATACTATATCTCCATGCCCCAATGTAACTAATCAGAAGCATGTGCAACTAAAGCAACATGTTATTTTTGCAATTTATTCTCAATTCAAAATACATCCCTTCCTTTAGTGTCAAATTAACATAGATTACAAATTAACAGTAAAGTAGAACTGCTGGATACCTCAGTGGTTTACATACCTGGCTGTGGAGCCAGAAACTGCAAGTTTTATTCTCCACTGTGCCTCCTTGACAGGGGCTGGACTCAATGATCCATATAGTTCCTTCCAGCTCTGCAGATCTAAGGCCACGCCACTGCAGTTTCCAAGTGATTCTGATAGGTATGGTCTGGTAATTATTACCTAATTTTAACTAGCAACATATAGCAACACTGTGGCTGAAATCCTGCTGTCAGTGGAATAGTAAGTCAACATCTCTAATTTCCCCTGATACAAATGGGCCACCCTAGTTGCAACTTACTATACTAAAGTAAGTCACAACTAGAGATCCATTTGAATCAACAGAAGGTACAGGGCTGACTGATTCAATGGGCGACTCTAGTGGGACTTACCACACTAAGCACCAGGATTTCAGTCCACATGTTGGTGGATGCAGAAGCTATCATAATATATATTTATATAAAAGCTCCTGGGATCATCCTGTTAAAATTTTTTCAAATGAATAAATAATTAATGTATTTTCCACACTTACCTGAAACCAGTTTATTCCAGTCATACAAATATCTCAACACTAAATTATACATGTTGAAAACATATTTTGATAACTATGTTTCCATAACACATGTAATTTTTTTTCATTTTAATTATTCCAATTGCCATTTCAGATGGTGAATGGAAGGATAATTCAACATAAAAAGTGCACATCTAACAAACTATAATATGGAAGAGCTACAAATATCAAGCTATAAATTTTCTGAATCCTTTATGGTGCTTCCTTCTAGATTTCACAAATCTTCCAGATAGACTGCAGTATTTCTGTTCAACTGTATCTTCACCTACAAAATGTATCTCTAAATCGGCCCATTAAGGAAAAGAATCTGATTATTGACATATAATGTTGGCT